CTTGAAAAAAGAATTACAAAAATCGTCTACATCAGTGTCGGTCATGGCACGTAGGATACCGGTGTCCACCTAGCAATTTCCGACCAATTAGCTAGAACGACTACATTGACAAATCGTCAAAATGTTTAAAACTAAATTGGTTAAATTGAAAAGTTTGGAACTGAATTGCCCACCGTACAATAGCTTGAGGACTTTTTGAACAATTGTCCATTGGATTGGTAAGCTATAGAAACAAAGTTGTTTCAAGATTTGGATTGATCTTGGTACTGTAGTCCATGGTAACCGCAAGGCTTACTCGTGTAGACAAAAGTTAAATGGACAACATGGCGTTTTTATGACGCTAGACGATCGGATCAAATGACTTATTTGTGACAAAATACTAGTGTTATTGCCGTGTTTGGGTGTAAATACCCGTTTGCATATTTCCGCAAGTCCAGTAGAAGTCGTAACATTATTATGGTTTTCCTTCTATTTGAATTATTAGTCTGATCATAGCTATTTAAATGTTAGTCCTAACATTTTTGAGATTCAATATTATTAGCCTTAGCAATATTACAAAACTTCTAGTTGAATTATTAGTCCTAAGAAGTAACACTGTTGGGTCTTGTGCTAAAAGTATGACTTTTTATCAAAAACATTTTATATGTTTAATGTATTTTTATTTTGTTTCGCACGCAAAGCATGTTGTTTGGCTTAGGCTCCGTTTGTTTCGCGGAAAGTAAATGATTTGGAAAATATTTTCTTAAAAACGATAGCTCGTATTGCTTAAAATAATTAACTAATGAAAAATGTTTTCATTATAGACAACAATTTATATATAGATATTTTCGTGAACGATGAAAATATTTTTCGTTCATTCATTTTTATAAGCGATATAAGCGATCGTTTTTAGAAAAAAAAATTTCAAATCATTCATTTTTTCGCAAAACAGACGGAGCCTTAATAACGGTACGACATTAAATTAAACGAGGGACAAAACTGTAAAGAAAACTAAATCTCTAACACGTTGAAACACGGTTCCTTTAAAAAGAAATGCTTATATGACTGTACTTAATTTACTGTTAGAATAACAGCGTGTTTTGGACAGTAACCCAAAAACTCCTGGGAAAGCCCTTCCTTAAATCTATCCACTTTTGAAACTTCAAAATCAAATCACCAATTATGACCGAGTGTCCTATGGGACAGTTGACCACGTTGGTTTCTTTGATTAGGACATTTCTTTGATTAGGACACAGCCGAAATGTCTTAGAAAGTTCCTTAAAAAAAGGATTAATATCGCGAAGAATTTCAAACTGGTACACTTGTGACAATTTTACCTTCCGTTAGTTTCTGTTAAATTTCATAGTCAATTTTCTCAGTTGAATGGCACGGGAGAGTAGACGGGTGTACTGGTTTGGGGTTTTACCCTCCATTTGTCACATGTGTACCGGTTTATGATTTTTCGTGGTATTAATTCAAGTTAACGGAGGGTAAATTTATCACAAATGTACCAGTTTGAGGTTTTTGGTGGTCAAAAAATTAAGTTGGGGTAAATTTGTCATAGATGTACCAGTTTACGATTTGTCTTGGTCAAAAAATTAGTTTATGGTAAATTTATCATAGATGTACCAGTTTGAAGTTTTTCGTCGTATTAACCCTAAAAAGAAAGGAATAAACAATCGAGTCTGATTTCAATGTGCGCAGGACTTGGAGGTAGATCATACTTTTTTTACTATCCATCCCCTTCAACTGGCTCATTCCTACAGCCGCCCATTGCCACCATTCTTTGGATCATTTCGATTTTGGGTCTTTGGATTAAATTAATGATATTTTGGGTCTTTGGATTAAAATATCGGTGCCGAAGAATGTCGGGTCTTCGGATTAAATTAATGGCGATCCGAAGAATGGTGGCGATGACATGGATTAAATTATTTGGTGGCCACCATTATCTTAACCTGAAGACACGGACTAAATTGGATTAAACTAATGGCAGCCAACCATTAATTGTCTTCAGATTAGATTGATGGAATCCATTAATAGCTTCTTTTGCCACGGCGAAAAGATACCTGTTCCCGCCGCGTTGGTCGTCGGCCTCAATAGCTTCTTTTGCTGTCCGTGGAATTTCTTTCTTTCCTATGAAGGAAACAAAACATGCGCTGACTGAAAAAGTGCCAACCCTTGACTTGTTGGGTGGGGGTGCACACCCATCCACCCGATTCTTGCGGATCACTGCGCCGGATAAATCTGGAGAAATTGAATAAGGCAAGTGGCTTCCCTGACGTTCCCAAATCAAATAAAAGGTGCTTCTTCATCCGTACATTGCAATATGGAAAACCTTTGGATTTTCTTCTTCTAATTTATGCAAAGTATATTCAAGTTCACAATTATGTAATTTATTCTCATAATATGTAGCTTAACTGTAGGTCCTTAATATGATATTTCGTCTACTTTTTATTCAATAACTGGGGCATTCATGTGTGGTTTCTAGTAAGATAGTTTAAGTATTACTATTAACTAGAAGGATTAGCATTTTATTTAGAATATCCTTTCGTAAGGAAGTTAATTAATTAGAAATATGAAACTCATTACCATAGATTAAGGAAAAAACTAAAATTTTCTTAGAACTCATTAACATATCAATTTTTTAAACACCCAAGAATTGTACTTTTATTTTTTTGGTCGGAGGGAATTAGAATTGTAAAGTTTACTTTGTCGTTAAATCATGTTTGTGCATACCTAACTTATAGATAGATGGCTATTTGAAAAAATAGATGCGACCTTATATGACTCTCATTTATTAATTGGTGATTCAAGTACACGATTGTATATTCTAGGTAAATTTGATTAAACTAGCGAAGCTATGCAAATTGTTCTGGCAATACTAATGTCTGATTACGTTGGACAATTAACCTTTCTACCTTTTAGTCCAAATAATGTAAATATTGTGGTGCGATATTAATGTTAAAGGAAAGTGAGAGAGAGATGAGAGAATAGAATGTGTTTTAATGATGCTATTAGGTCCGAAAACTCTATTGTACTAATTTCCCTTTTAACATTAAAAAAAGGGAAGAATAATAATAAGAAGAGCTAGCTGACACATTAAAAAAAGATAATAATAATAAAAAAAAAAGGGCTAGCTCTTTTTTAATTATTATTATAATTATCTTTTTTTATGTTGAAAATTGCACCACGGTAACTTCGTCCTCGCATTCGCCGAGACGGAGCTTGATTGTAGGCCAAGTACGCCAACAGCTCTGTAAATGTAAATGAGTGATTAAAGCTCTTCATAAGTCTACACACACAAAAGCACCAGATCAGACTACGTTCAAAGCGAGGTGGAGGATCTCTTGCTGGAGAAGCAGTCTACCAAGCCTTGGTCTCTACACAGTGCTCCCCCCCTTCTCAAGAACATGGCCGATCAAACAGCGACACTTCAAAGGTACGTGATTCGTTCGTGGTAATATGTTCTTTAAGGCTCTATTTAGACCATTGATTGAGTAGCCGGTTTTTGTTTCTTCTTTCTCGATTCACTATAGGGACGACGGACAACCACCACGTCAGCAGCAACAGGAAAGCTTTGGCTTAACCAAGAGGTTTCATATTGTATTTACCTTGTTCAAGCTGCTTGCCATTGCTCATTTCAATTCGTAGCCTATCGAGGTGCTGAGCCACACGGTTCTACAGTTTTACATTATTTGCGAGGTCATCTATCTCGTAGTGCTGATCTAAGTGACCGGACCCGCGACTCCAAACAAGATATACCACTACTTGTACATCATTTTGGGGACTCTCGGTGCCGAGTTGCTTCTCTGGACGAGTCTATCTCTAATCATGTGGCTCATCGTCAATATGTGCTTGCTGGTGTTTGCTTTGGCATCGTTCGATGTGCTCGCGCGAGTTTCCGGCTGCCTTGAAGAGATTGTTCAACCGTCCGACGATGTGTCGATTTTCGAAGTTCAGTTTGATTCTTGAAGCGCACGGAATCATACTGTGTTTGTTTGTTGTGTCGATCTTGCTGTATGTCATGTTGTAATAAATTCTTCTGATTTGGAGAAGAGAGAATGTTATTATATACATATGCTGTATTTGGTGAACCTTACCTTATTACCATGGAATGTACACGTTTATTTTAAATTCCTGACAATGATAATGGTCGAGTTCGAGCTTTTATCCAGTGATTTTTTTTTTTTTTGGGTCAAAACTTTTTTGTTGCGATAACAATTTATATTTGACCCAATATTTTTGTCGTCATTAGTATAACGGCAAGATAAATGTTTATGTAACAGTCTTTGATTTATTATGAGATTGATAGTTTATTTTGGATTATAAAAAGTAAATTACAAATTATTAAAAATTATTATAAAAGTCATTAATTCAAGAATTTGTGATTAAGCTGTTATTGTTATACTAGCACAAACTGTACTGACGGCACCCAACTCTCGCGGCTCTCCATCATTGACCAATCTCCGCCCCGTCGACCGTCGAGTCGCTCAGCCGCTTTCGTGGCCTTGAGTTCAGCTGAGCTCGTCGCTTCCGCCGCAAAAGCTCCGCCTCTCGAGTGCCATTGCCGTCGATCGTCCCCCTTCGCGTCCCTTATTCAGGTATCTCTCTCTCTCTCTCTCTCTCTCTCTCTGTAGAACCAGCCAGCCTCGCAGGAATGGAACTTGGTGTTCGGCTGTAAGAGGCGTCCATGCAGGAAGGAGAATCAGCGGGAGTAGGATTAGGAATAGCGAATGGAGGAATTGAAGAAGGAAATCGAGTGGAAGTAGGAGAAGACGGCGGATTCAGAAATCGAGAAGGCGTTGGAATGGTTGGACTTGAATGACGGCGGGAGAAGCAGGCGGACGGAGGAGCCCTTCGCTCCCAATTCGCGACGTCCGAATGCTCATGGAGGGCTTCACACGCGTGCCCGGTCGTCTACTCTTCAACCCCTGTCCAATCGGAGCCACAAACTCTCCCACTCATATCCGCGCTTCTCCTTTGGAGTTCCTGGAATTCTTCTCTCTCGTTGCTCGACTATCCTTTTTTTTTTTTATCTATTTCCTTTAACTAATTCACAATGCCTGTGTGTAGTTTGTGGTTCAGAGGCATGCTTGATTCTTATGTGTTGCTAAGTCTCTTGCACCATTGCATAGCTTGCCTGAGAAGTGAAATTTGATGTCTCCTTTCTGCTGTTGGGGATAAGAGATTGTCTATGATGATTACAACATGTTTGACATGCCTGAAAAGCGTAAAGTCACGTCCTCTTTCTTTTCCGGTTTGCATTGAATGTGATAAGAAGGAACATCACTTTATGCTTGAATAAGTTGGAGGATAAAAATGCGGCTACATCGTCACAAGAAGATTAAACTTTGAAGCATAGGGTTAGCATCCTAAATGAGCTTATAGATAAAAATGAACAAGGAGGAGTTTTTGAAATATATGAAGATTGGTTTCTCGTTTTAGTGGCTGTTCTTTTGAAAGGGCTGGATAATCTAGTGATTAATTTTGTGCTGGTATAGTGTGCGTAGAGCAATATGCTGCTCAGAATGTTTGCTTTCCTAAATTGCCCAGTTTTGATCAATTACCTGAGAAGCTAAGACTTCTTGTTGAAGTTCTTCAATTATGCCTATAATGCGACGATAGATTATCTATAGGCTTCACTAGTATTTTCTGCAATTGATATTTGAGTGCTGATGCTTATCGAGTGGCAATGCTTGAAATATATACCTTGTCTACACCGGGTGTACTTGCGGTAACCGTCAGATAAACGACACTAGTGAATCTCCTTTTCGCTGTCTCCCCGTATCAGCTGTCTCATAAGATCTTTCAATTTTCAAACTTTTTACACTTTTTACTGAAAAAAAGAATGTTGAGTTCATGCTGTCATCAATTTGGTTGGCACATTAACAAAGCTATTTTGGATTTTGATACTTTTTTTTAGGCTGGAACTGTTGATACTTGTATAAGCATGTGTTTATATTTAGTGTACTAGTACTATATCTACCACTTCCTTCTGGACCTAAACATGTTTTGGTGGACGCTGATATGTTTTCTAGCTTCTTAATGTGTTGCTGAGAATTTAACTTGTCAAAAGAATGAATTGTATGAATGAATACTGCAGGACTGGGAGGAAAGGGTTAATGTTGGCATGTCCAGCACAGTGTGACAACTTCAATCGAGAAAGTGTACCGAATATGGCTATTGGCAAAATTAAAAGTAATGAGAAGGCTGACTGTGCAACTGTCGAGCAGGTAAAGTACATTTTCAGCAAAAGATTGATAAGTTGTATGCTAAGTGTCTGGTAAAATGTTCCACTTAAATTCTCCATGCTTCAGTTGTAACAACAGCCACAATAAGGTCTCTTTATACTAAGAGTAATCTGCTGCTTGGATCATCTCAAAAAATATGTCCCCTGTAAATGTATGTCCGTTTTAAAGATCTATTGGGATTTCGGTCAATTTTTTCATTGGCCACCTTCCTCTTGCTTTGTACCTCTATCCCAGGGTCAAATTTTTTGTACTTGGCATGAAGCCTGATTGGTCTTAAATTTTCCGAATTTATCATGCTTCATGGATATAGGATAACAAACACAATTACTTTTATTTATTCATCAAAAGTTAATGAAGTTGAAACGAACCCTATTGCAAGCTTAATCTGTCTCTTTGCTAAATCATTATTTCAACTTGACATAATCATAGCTGAGTAAACAGTTTGATGTGTGTATGCATTCGTTCATGTCCCCTCTTGTAAATAATGTTTCGGAAGTAAGACCACTTCTTAAAGTTATTGCAGTTACAGTGCCCCACCCCCACTCCTAAAAGTTACTGAAGCTCCAGCATCTCCTAGAAGTTCTCATGGAATTGTTTATACGGTTGTGCAGGCCATTGACCAGAGAACTTGGATGGTTCTCTTCAAGATGCTCAACCGTCAAGTATTTAATGATATAAATGGTTGCATTTCCACTGGCAAAGAAGTATCTTATCATCTACAGTGAGCATACTCTCTACTTTCTTTTTTCTGCCAATTGATTGTAGGTGGAACTTCATCACATCATTGTTATAATTTCACGATTTTACTTATGATTTGTTCATATTTTTGCTAGTACTGCATACTCTCTTGACCCTGCTGTCACTCTACTTTTATAGGAAAATGTCTATCATGCAACAAAAGCTGACGGGCAAGAATTGGCAATCAAAGTCTACAGGACTCTGGTGCTGGTGTTCAAGTAAGTGTGATAGTTTTTAGTTGTTGGCATGGCCCCTGCATGGGTGTTTGAAGGTGCAATACTGCATTTGATACCATGTTGTGACTTTATTCTTTCTAGAATTGACAATCAATATACAGATTCTGTTTGTTGCGATGGCGGTCACTGCTGGATTGTGGAGAATGTTCGCTTATTTCGTCTGGTACTTTTTTTTCTTTTCTTAGGAACTACTGTTAGTTCTTTTTCTTTATTATTTGGCCGAAAGGAGCTATTCTAGTTTGCAATGTGATTTAGCCCTAGTTAGTATAATGGCACCTGACTCGCCGCTCTGCTTCATTCACCAATCTCCGCACGTCGAGTCGCTCAGCAGCCTCTGTGGCCTGGGTTCAGTTTAGCTCATCGCTTCCGCAGCAAAAATCCGTCTCTCAAGTCCGTCGCCATTGATCATTCTCCTTCTTGTCCCTATTCAGGTAGCTCTCTCTCTCTCTCTCTGCATTCACACCGTGACCAGCCTCAGAGTTTTTCTTTTTGGAACTTGATGTTTGCCTGTAACAGGCATCCATGGTGGAAGAAAATTAATGGAAGTGGGATTAGAAATAAGGATAAGAAGGAGAAGAGGAGGAGGAGAAGGAGGCGTGGTTGTCGGATTCAGAAATTGAGAACGCTTTGGAATGGTTGGACTTGAAAGACGGTGTGTAAGCGGTGGTGGAAGGAGCCTTTGCACCCAATTCACGGCGTCCAAATGCTTACAAAGGGCTTCATATTCGTGCCTGGTAGTCCACACTTAAACCGCTGTCCAATCAGAGCCAGAAACTCTCCGGTCACATCCGCGCTATGCCTTTGGAGGTCTTAAAGTTCCTTTCTCTTGTTGCTTGACTATTCTTTTTAATTACTTAATATGACTAATTTATAATGCCTGTATGTAGTTTGTAATTTAGAGGCATGCTTGATTCTTATATGTTGCCAAGTCCCTTGGACCAATGTATAGCTTGCCTGAGGAGTGAAATTTGATGTCTCTGTCTTTTCTGGTTTGAATTGAAGGTAATGGGAAGGTAGGTTAGAACATCACTCTATGCTTGTATAAATTGGAGGAGAAAAATGTGGCAACATCGTTACGACAATATTAAATTTTGAATCATAGGGTTAGCATCCTAACTGAGCTGTGAAACGGATTGGATTTTTAATTTTTCTTCTTTGGGAAAATACTGAAAGGACTGCTTGAAGAACTTCTTGTAGATAAAAATGATCTAGGAGGAGTTTTCAAAATATACAAGGATTGGTTTCTCTTTTTAGTGTCTGTTCTTTTGAAAGGGCTGGAAAATCTTGTGATTGATTTTGTATCGATAGTGTGACCAGAGCAATATGCTGCTCAGAATGGTTGCTTTTTTAGGTTGCACAGTTTAGATCAATTACCTGAGAAGCTAAGACTTCTTATTGAAGTTCTTAAACCTTGCCTTTACTGCGACAAGAAATTTTCTATAGGCTTTACTAACATATTTTACAGGTGGCTGTATTGAGTGCTGATGCTTATCCAGTGGCAATGCTTGAAACATATACCTTGTCTGCATCAGGTCTACTTGTGGTAACAGTAAGATAAAAGACACTAGTGAATCTCCTTTCCACTGTCTCCCCATTTCAGTTGTCTACACTTTTGAGTTTCACCAGATAGAACTTCATAAAAACTTTCAATTTTCAAACTTTTTCCACTTTTCACCAAAAAAAAGATTGTTGAGTTCATGCTGTCCTCAATTTGGTTGGCACATAAACATAAGCTATTACAGATTTTGATACTTTTTTTTCTTTGGGTCAGAACTTTTGATAGTTGAATAAGCATGTGTTGATTTATAGTGCACTAGTACTATATCTACCACTTCCTTCTGCATCTAAACATGATTTGGCAGACACTGATATGTTCTCTAGCTTCTTAATGTGTTGCTGAGTATTTAACTTGTTAAAATAATGGATTTTATGATTGAATACAGCAGGAGTGGGAGGGAAGGGTGAATGTTCCATGTCCAACACAGTGACAGCTTCAGTTAGAGGAAGTGTTGGGGATATGGCTATTTACAAAATTAAAAGTAATGAGAAAGCTGACCATGCAACTGTCGAGCAGGTAAAGTACATTTTCATTCAAAAGATTGATCAATTTTATGTAAGTGTTTGGTAAAATATTGCCATTAAAATTCTCCATGCTGCTGTTGTAACAACAGCCACAATAAGGTCTCTTTATACTAAGTGTAATCTGCTGTTTGGATTTTTCTCGAGATAATATATTCCCTGTAAATATGTGTCCATTTTAAAGATCTGTGACAACATTTGTCAATTTCTTCATTGGCCTCCTTCCTCCTGCTTTGCATTTCTATCCCAGGGTCAAATCTTCTGTACTTGGCATGACTTAAATTTCAGAGTTTATTGTTCTTCATGGATATAGAAAACAAACTTCAATTACTTTTATTTGATCATCAATAGTTTTGAAGTTGAAATGAACCCTATTGGAAAGCTTAATCTGGCTCTTTGCTAAATCGGTATTTCAATCATAGCTGAGTAACTATTTGATGGGTGTATGCATTGGTTCATGTCCCCTATTGCAACAATAATATTCAGAAGTAAGACCACATTTAAAAGTTAGTGCGGTTACAGTGCCCCACCCCCAACTCCTAAAACTTACTGAAGTGATATTAGCATCTCCCAGAAGTTCTCATGGAATTGTTATGTGGTTGTGCAGGCCATTGATTAGAGGACTCGGATGGTTCTCTTCAAGATGCTCAACCATCAAGTATGTAATGATACAAATGGTTGCATTTCTACTGGCAAAGATGTATATTATTATCTGCAGTCAGCAGTGCTCGCTACTTTCTTTCTTTCTACCAATTGATTGTAGGTGGAACTTCTCCACATCATTTGTTATAATTTCACGATTTCACTAGTGATGTATACTTTTGCTACTGCTGCATAGTCACTGTAACCTTTTGTCACTCTGCCTTTTGTTAAACAAATGTCTATCACGCAACATAATCTGATGGGCAAGAATTGGCAATCAAAGTCTACAAGACTTCAGTGCTGGCGTTCGAGTAAGTGCGAGTCACGTATTGTATAAGTTTAATTTACCGGATGTGGAGATTACTTTGCACTTCCCAGCAGTAGCCTAGTTTTAGCTTAGAGTGAAGCGAGAGGGATATGTTATGTTTGTCTTGTATTGTGTCAGGGTATTGTTAATTGTATAGCAGCTTCTTCTTTCCTGTTGTTTTCTTTCCTTCTTTTTGCTAGTTATTATAAGGAAGGAGGCCTTGGTAGGAGTTGGCTATGACCTAATCGATTCCCGGTTCCGATCCACTATCGATAGTTAGATATCTTCTGTGATTTTAGTTTGATTTTTTCACGTACTTTCGGGGGTGAGAAAATGAATAGTTTTGATTTGTTGGGTTGAGAATGCTTGGCTGCCTTGGTTTGGAATTGCTATCATGAGATTAAAGGCCTATTGGTTTACTGAGGTGAGGGTCAAAGACTGGCTATGCAATCACTTAGCAGACTCTGAAATTTGCTGAACCAGGAGTTGATGAAGCATTGTTTCGGGTCTCCGAATTCTATCGCATTTGTTCGTTTTTTGGTGTTACCCAAAAGTGACGACTGTTAGGCAGGGTCATTGGCCGTGAATCCTGATAATAACCTTTTAACAGTTGGAGCCTTTGGAACCATCAAGGGACTGTGGGGTGACTTTTCGACTCAAAAATAATCATGGATCTACAAAAATAGATTATGAAAATCACAAGATTTATTACAAAACCATGAAACAAAATTTAATTTTCAAATACAATAAATTCCCGGAATTTCAAATATCAGTTGGCATGTTGTTGATCAGTTGAAAACGGTCAGAATCTCGCACAAGCAGACATGCCAAAACGAGCACTAGCAAGCACATGTTGACTACTAGCCACATAGCTAGAGACAAGCTTATCCAGGGAAGCAACTCGGAAGTGAGAGTCCCGAAACGATGTACAAGGACCGGTATATCACGTTCAGGCTTGAGGGTCCGGTCACTCGGATAAGTGCTACGAGATAAATGACTTCACAAATGACGTAAAATTGTAAAACTTTGTGGTCCAATGTCTTGGTATGTTGCGAATTGAAATACTTGATGACGAAATTTCGGTTTCGGTTGGCTGTTGGCGGGGCAACCAAATTTCACCACCGTTCGATCATTTTAGAGATCTGTTTGGCTCTGGAAATTGGCTGTGCAACATAGGGTGTGAGTCGACATCATGAGATTCTTCCTACTTGCTAGTTTAGTTTCTTTCGCCATTTACATTGCGCTTGCGAGTGTTTTTTTGCTTCTTGTCGTTGCCGCAGAGAGAGAGGCTATTTCTCTTTCCGATTCTATGAGCACATAAACGGTCATCGGCATGCGACTATTTCTTAGCCGGGTGAGCAAACACATATGTTCAGCCTAACGGATTAAAGCTATGCCCATTATTTGACTCGATTCAGATCCTACCCATACTCAACCTAAGCTCCAATAGCAATTTTTTCCCCTTATATATGGAAAATAGCATAATCAATAAAAAAATTAAATATTAAAAAAATTTAACGAACCAAGCTAGTAAAACACATCTCTTATTATTTTTACCGATGCTAGAAGTTTGATCTAATTTAGTAGAATAATTTCTGCCTGGGATGATACATATGATGTAAACTTGTACTCTTGTAAGTACATAAATATTTGAAAATACTCAAAGATTTGAAATCGTTCAAATCGATCAAGAGTTGTAACATTAAGACCGTGTTCAACACCATACACTTCGATAAATGAAGTGACTTGAATGAGTTTTGGGTTTAAAGGAGGTTATTGAATTCTGTTCCTACGCAATTTTAAGTGGTATAGGTCTATAATCCAAAGACACTTTACCTTTCTCTTTCTTGTTTAGGTCCAAATTGGACCGTCCAGGTCAACTTCCAGATATTCCCCCCAAGGGACCGCAACCAAAAGATATGACGTGGCCCGTGAATTCTCTCTCTCTTTCTTT